GAGATCTACTTATTAGAATTGTAAAACTGATGGAATAAAACATTAAACTGGCTTATTTGTAATCCAGGAAGCCACTGGCTATTGTCTGATGATTTAGCCTGCAGGAGCAATGGTCAATATGCCTAGGATTCTGTTGCAACTAGTGGGTAACCAGATAATGAACATCACTTCCTACCCTGAGGACTGCTTTGACCTTGAATACAACCATGGTTTGGTGAAAAATTCTTGAGTTGCTCAATTTGTCTTATTTATATATATATGCATGCATGCATGTATGTGTGTGTGTGTGTGTGTGTGTGTGTGTGTGTGTGTGTGTGTGTGTGTTATCACATTAAAAACAACTTGTATTATTTGTGAAATCTATAAAAGATATTAGATAACAAATTTACAGACATTAAAGGTGTGATTTGTAAGCAGGACATAGTTCGTGTTTACACTCTGAATTTGTGAGGTTGCTGAATCTGCAGTGAGCCAACGCAGCGGTGTACGTATTTGTAATTTGATGTAGACAGGAGAAAAGCTCCAGCATTGTTTTAAAACTAAATCCAGTTAACAGGAATGACCCAAAAGTTATTTCTTGTACTATAAGAAGCCTCAACATCTTTTTGTTTTAGTCTAAAATCAGGTAAAGAAGGCGTTGAGCTAATGTTGAGCTAACAATGCTATTGGTGAATTAGAAGCAAATAGTCAGCTCTAAAAATGTCCCAAGCTACCTTTTCGATTACCAACAACTCAATATTACAGTGAAATGTGTGTATGAAGTGAATAATGAGTCAATTGTGGCATTTTACTTCCTTTAAGGAGTCATTCAGGTCTATAACAACAAGCTAACAGCAAGACAGCAAACAACCACACTTCCTGTAATGCTGGAGGCATACTACCATGACAAATCTAGTAAATGCTCCCTACTGTAAAACATCCAAGAGTCTTAACACCAGATTTGATTGTGTATTTATCTATTCATCAACTTACCATGATTGGCCCATCTTTGCTTGTCATCTAGAATTTTCTGCCGCAAATACAAACTGGCAACAGCCATGAAGTTCTCGGAACGGCAGCAAGAAAACAATATTTTTGTTTAAAACAAATGGACCGCAATAACCACCTTTGACCACAGGATGTCATTTTTACATATTGCACCTTTTAATATCTGATGAAGATGATCCCCAAAGAGCTATAAACTGAAAAAAGTTGCAACATTCTTACACACTGTGTCCACTTTCATGGGACTGCTTCTGAAACCAATGCTCAAAGTAGAAAACAATAAGTGTAGGAATTCTCCTTAGAAAACTGCCTGGTCAAAGGGGGGGGGGGGGGGGGGTAGAAGGGGGGTGTTGCATTAATTAGATGGGGGAGACTGCGAATGGCTGGTGTTTACCTAAAGAAGGACATTTTTTAGTAATGTTTGAGATTTTGACTGATGAAAGGAAAATTTCATAATGCACCATAGGCTATGAAAACAGCGTAAAATTGAAAAGTGTAAGTTACGGTGTATAACAGCCAACTTAAAACACTGCCCAAATTTAGCGTAAAGGCAAACAAAGCAGTCCCCAAAAGCTTTCAACATCTAGCTCCTGATTCTAGTGAGGGATTTAAATATTTTCCTTAGTTACAAAGGTACAAATTTATAAAAATAGCAAATGTTTTCATAGCAGTACTTCCACTAATGTGTTTCTCTAAATAAAGGTTAATCAGAAGATTTCAGACCACCAGCAGACGGCTTCTTGTACCAAAATCTTACAGATCAAATGTGTTTACTGGAGATGAGGTTGTGTCCCCTCATTTCTGCTTTTACAATAGTAAAAAACCTAATCTGCATTCCCCCAGAAAATTGACTCTGAATTTACTCCATTGAGGAGTTTTGGGCAGATAGACAACTGCAATCATGACATTCATAATCGCCATTGCTAATCATCTTACTTGACTGCTGCAAAGCCCCATAATAATGTTTTAAAAGATAATGAAGCTAATTAAAGCTCGTCCAGCGAAGCTAAAAAGATAAAAAAGACCACTTTTTTTTCTGGCTACATTCTCCATACGTAGTTGCTAAAATCACCAACTAAGCATTTATAAGAATTTTGGTCCACTGGATTTAATAGTGGAAATAAGCCATTTTTGCAAGAAAATCACATTAAAAATCATCATGATTCTTTAGCAAGACATTATAAGATGTATAGTCTAACACAAAACAATTTGAAAATATATAAGTATATACATTTAACCCTCCCACTGTCCTTATGGGTGACCCCGCGAGGAAAGTGGACCATTGAGCAGGATTGATGGTTTATCCCTTGAGGTCCACGTGTCAGGAGTGAGGTGGTGCTCACTCCTCACCCCTGCCACATGGACCCAAGGAATAAACCATCCGACTCTGCTCAATGGTCAACTTTCCTCGTGGGGTCACACTCATTAGCACAGTGGGAGGGTTAAAGTATAAATAAATCAATACACAGACAATTATATGAATAAAACAAAAATTAAGTAACAGAATCAGAAGGAGTTAAAATGTAAAATGATCAAAATATAATAAAACATAACAAAGTAAAATAAATTATTTAAAATAATTTCCATCCATCCATCCATTTTTATCCGCTTATCCGGACTTGGGTCGCAGGGGCAGTAGCTTAAGGCGAGACTTCCAGAGGCCCAGACTTCCCTCTCCCCAGCCACTTGGGCCAGCTTCTCTGGGGGAATCCCAAGAAGTTCCCTGGCCAGGTGAGAGACATAGTGCCTCCACTGTGTCCTGGGTCTACCTTTAGGTCTCGTCCCGGTTGGACGTGCCCGTAAAACCTCACCAGGGAGGCATCCAGGAGGCATCCTGACCAGATGCCCGAGCCACCTCAACTGGCTCCTCTCGATGTGGAGGAGCAGCGGGTCTTCTCCGAGCCCCTCCCAAATGACCGAGCTTCTCACCCTATCTCTAAGGGAGAGCCAAGCCACTCTTCGGAGAAAACTCATTTTGGCCGCTTGTATCCGCAATCTCGTTCTTTCAGTCACTACCCAAAGCTCTTGACCATAGGTGAGGGTAGGAACGTAGATCGACCGGTAAATCGAGAGCTTGGACTTCTGACTCAGCTCTCCCTTCACCACAACAGATCGGTATAACGCCCGCATCACTGCAGATGCAGCACCAATCCGCCTATCAATCTCACGCTCCAGTTTTCCCTCACTCGTGAACAAGACCCCGAGATACTTAAACTCCTCCACTTGGGGCAGGACCTCATCCCTGACCCGGAGAAGGCATTCTACCCTTTTCCGAATCAAGACCATGGTCTCAGATTTAGAGGAGCTGATTCTCATCCCAGCTGCTTCACACTCGCCTGTGAACCACTCCGGCGAAAGCTGAAGACCACGTACTGATGAAGCCAACAGGACCACATCATCTGCTTTTGCCTTGGCGACCACCCGAGCCACGTTCTGTTTGGACTGCCGGTACCCGTCAGCTGCCTCTGGAGTCCCACAGGCCAAAAAGACCTGATAGGACTCTTTCTTCAGCTTGACAGCATCCCTAACCGCAGGTGTCCACCAGCAGGTTCGGGGGTTGCCACCACGACAGGCACGACGATCCTGCGACCACAGTTCTGGTCGGCCGCCTCAACAATGGAGGCACGGAACAGGGTCCATTCAGACTCAATATCCTCCGCCTCCCCAGAACATTTTGGCAGTTCTGTCGGAGGTGGGAATTGAAGCTCCTTCTGACAGGACACTCTGCCAGACGTTCCCAGCAGACACACGCAATACTTTTGGGCCTGCCTGGTCTGACCGGCATCCTCCCCCACCATCTGAGCCAACTCACCACCAGGTAGTGGTCAGTTGACAGCTCCGCCCCTCTCTTCACCCGAGTGTCCAAGACATGCGGCCGCAGGTCAGATGAAACACCAACAAAGTCGATCATCGAGCTGCGGCCTAAGGTGTCCTGGTGCCAAGAGCACATATGGACACCTTTATGTTTGAACATGGTGTTCATTATGGACTATTCATGACTGGCACAGAAGTCCAATAACAAAACACCACTCGTATTCAGATCGGGGGACCGTTCCTCCCAACCACACTTCTCCAGGTCTCACTGTCGTTGCCCATGTGAGCGTTAAAGTCCCCCAGCAGAACAAAGGAGTCACTGGAAGGAGCGCTGTCCAGCACCCCCTCCAAGGTCTCCAAAAAGGGTGGTAGTCTGAACTGTAGTTTGGTGCATAAGCACAGACCACAGTCAGAACCCGTCCCCCCACACGTAGGCGGAGGGAGGCTACCCTCTCATTCACTGGGGTAAACCCCAGTGTTCAGGCACCAAGATGGGGGCAACTAGTATGCCCACCCCTGCTTGGCGCCTCTCGGTGGGAGCAACTCCAGGGTGATAGAAAGTCCAACCCCTCTCAAGGAAACTGGTTCCAGAGCTAGAGCCATGCGTTGAGGTGAGTCCGACTATATCTAGGCGGAATCTCTCAACCTCATACACCAACTCAAGCTCCTTCCCCACCAATGGTGGCATTCCATGTGCCAAGAGCCAGCTTCTGTAGCCGAGGATCAGACCGCCAAGGTCCCCACCCTCGACTGCCACCCATCACACACTGCACCTGACCCCTTTGGCCCCTCCCACAAGTGGTGAGCCATTGGGAAGGGGGACCCACCTTTCCTCTTCAGGCTGTGCCCGGCCGGGCTCCATGGGTGAAAGCCCGGCCACCAGGCGCTCGCCAGCGTCCCCCACCTCCAGGCCTGGCTCAGAGAGGGAGCCTGGTGACCCACGTCTGGGCGAGGGAACACGGTTTCCATTTATATAATTCCACAAAAGAGGTCTTTTAAAATAATTTAAAAAATAAAACTAAATAAACAGAACATAACACAACATTAAGAATTAACTTCAGGATACAACCGCATAACTAAAGCGTTGCTTTATACTTCCGTAAGCACTTCATGTTTGTCGAGAATAGAAAGAAAAAAGCTTTCTTTGTGCTTCAGATCGACAGCTTGATTAGGATGTTAATCCCTGTTTCTCGTTTATGCAGTTCTCTTTCCTGAGATGTCAACTACAGGATGAGGCCTGCGGCAGGTAAGAAACTGAGAAGAATAGACAATTAACTGAGCGTAGAGCTGTGTTTTGACCCCTGTTTTGATTTGTTTTGCCCTAATTTCACACATTGCACGACAGCTGATCAAATGTTGTGCTTCATTAATGTGTTTTAACCCATCAGCCCAGGATTTAGACCGATCCGTCTTTGTTAGAGAGATGAATTGCCTGTCGTTGAGACGGCAAAGAGAGCATGTCAGGTGATAACTCCTAAGCTGAATCTCCATCAGTAATTATTTTTCATTTGGAGATTTAGTTTAGTTTAGCAATCAGGTTGATGATGTTCATGGCTTTGTAGTATAGTCTTCTGCTTTTAGAGGGTTACGGTGCTTTTGTATGTGTCTTCAAATATTTTACAAACAGCAATTTAAATAAAAACTGTTGGTTTTAATATTATAAACAGGATGTCTGTTGAATTGCGCATTTGGAAAAACAAATTGATTTAAAACTTGACAAAAATCACCAACTGGCATTTGCATAAAAAGCTCAGATCCAGTCACTTTTATGCCTTTTATACTTTTCGTTATTGCCCGTTTTATTTGCCCAGACTTCCCTCTCCCCAGCCACTTGGGCCAGCACCTCTGAAAGAATCCCAAGGCGTTCCCTGACCAGGTGAGAGACATAGTCCCTCCACCGTGTCCTGGGTCTACCTTTAGGTCTCCTCCTGGTTGGACATGCCTGGAAAACCTCACCAGGGAGGCGTCCAGGAGACATCCTAACCAGATGCCCGAGCCACCTCAACTGACTCCTCTTGATTTGGGGGAGCAGCGGGTCTACTCCGAGCTCTTCCTGGATGACCAAGTTTCTCGCCCTATCTCTAAGAGAGAGCCCAGACACCCTGCAGATAAAAATAATTACGGCCGCTTGTATCCGTGATCTCGTTCTTTTGGTCACTACCCAAAGCTCATGACCATAGGTGAGGGTAGGAACGTAGATTGACCGGTAAACCGAGAGCTTTGCCTATCAGCTCAGCTCTCTCTTCACCACGACAGATTGGTACAACGCCCGCAATAGACGCAGCACCAATCCACCTGTCAATCTCACGCTCCATCTCCCCCTTACTCATGAATAAGACTCCGAGATACTTAAACTCTTCCACAGAGAAGGCATTCCACTCTTTTACGATTTACAAGAACCAGAATTCATCATAACAATGGGAACAGTAGAAATTGTAATAAAAAGGAATAGGAAAGAGGTCATCTCTGTAAAGGTAGAATTGGTAGAAAGAGCTGAATAAGGAGGAGTTGGTGACGTAAGAATCAACCGAACGTCACACCAAACCACTATTTCAAGGAACTAGAAGTGAGCTCATAGCTGAGCATCACATGACAGGTTTTAGAGTCTTGTTTCTAGATTTCTGGACATCTCACCTCTGATTGGATAACAGCAACGTGACTCTACCACTGACTCTATTTGTTCTGCAACATTTTTGTTTTGTCTCCACAAATAACACAAGTCTGGAGGAGCTTCTTGAGTTGCTAATGATAAATGGCCCGCACTTGTATAGGGCCTATCAGAGTAAGGACTCCAAAGCGCTTTACACTACAGTGTATCATTCATCCATTCACACACACATTCACACACTGGTGGGGATGAGCTACAATGTAGCCACAGCTGCCCTGGGGTGCACTGACAGAGGCGAGGCTGCCGAGCACAGGCGCCACCGGTCCCTCCGACCACCACCAGCAGGCAAGGAGGGTTAAGTGTCTTGCCCAAGGACACAACAGCACAATTCTCTGTCCGGAGCCAGGATCAAACCTGCAACCTTCCGATTACTGGACAACCCGCTCAACCTATTGAGCTACTGCTGCCCCAAATGCTAATGCTAACAATTAGCTTTTACTAGCCGAGACATGCTAAGCTCCCTCCTGGATGTTAAACCAGCAACTGCCTTCCCCTTTTTGGTGGCAACATGGCTGAGTCCATGAATGTTAAGTGACAGTGTGATGTAGATCTGTCAGGGTTTTCAAATCCTAGAGTCTTATTTATCAGAAGTTAATGCAGGAGATAGGTGTAGGAGACTATTTTCATGTTCAGCATGCATGAAAAACTCAAAGTGACCGATTATAATCAGAAATAATCAATAAAAATTGGGTTTCTTTTTTCTGTTTGGGTTGCATTTGTTGTAAACACAAGCACGGCCATAGAACTCTCACCTCTCCTGTTGGCTAGCATCTGTAAGCCACACCCTCCTGACACTGGAACCTGCATTACCAGAGGATACGAGATATTCTAAAACACCAGTCACTTAGCAACCTGGAGGATATTATTTATAGATTTGGAGAAAATGAATGTTTATTTAACTGTCAATTGTTTAGTTTGACCCGCACCTCCAACCAAATGTGAGGCCATTGCGTTTTGACTGGGAAAGGCTGGATTGCCAACATTGGGTCAGGGGAAATGGTCCTCCCAATAGGGGTGTTTAGGTATCTCAGCATATTGTTCATGAGTGAAGGAGCGGCGGACTAAGTCAGCATCTGCAGATGCTTAACTGTTCAATTCAGAGGGAGCTAAGCAAGAATGCAAAGCCAGCCCATCTTTGCTGCAGTCATGAGCTTGGGTAGTGACTAAAAGACCAAGACTGTGAGAACAAGTGGCCAAAATGACATATCTTCACAGGATGATCTGGTTCAGCCTAATGGGTTGGGCGAGGAAACATCCAGGACAGATTCAGAGTAGAGCCACTGCTCCTCCACATCAAGAGAATTCTGCAAAGGTGGTTCAGGCATTTGGTGTGAATCCCTCCTGGACACCTCCCAGGAAAAGATACTTGGGTATTTCCTGTAGCCAGGAGGCCCCCAGGTGAACCCAGGACCTGCTGGAGAGATTATATCTCCACTTTGGCTAGAGAACACTTTGAGAGGTTCCCGGGGAGACGATGGTTCACGTCGCTCCTCTGGGGCTGCTAACACCGCAACTCAGACCTGAATAAGCAGATAAAGTTAAACCAATGAACAAGCAAAATTAAACCAAATATTAGGGAAATTAAATGGGTTTTTTAATAGAAAAACCTCTGCAGAAAAAAAAGGAATCTGCTATAATCGGGGATGGTAGAAAAACTGCTGATTGGCTTTCGACTGGTAATTCATTTATGCTTTTTTGACCTTTGTTTTGATCCGTTTGCCTCACAAAGCATTAACAGTGCTCACATGCAGTACTAATGTCTTTGAACTCATCAGCCCAGGATTTAGGCCAATCCGTCTTTGTTATGAAGAGGAATTGCCCGTCTTGAGGGTTGAGATGGCCCAGAGAGTATGTCAAGTGATATCCAATCAAGCGCTGAGCCGAATCCCGACTCCAGCCCCTTCCCTCCCATCCTCTGACCTGCAGCTGCGCACGCGGAACAGACTATATCTGGCAACCTAAACCTTTTTAAAGTGACTGAGAGAGTGACTGGCGCTGATGGGAGCAGACCAGGACTGCGCGATGGCGTGCCGCGCCGCGCCCGGGCCTCAGAAGCTTGATTGATAGAGTGTGATGAGACTGTCACAGAGCAAGGAGAGCGGCACAGAGATAGGTCGGGCGGAGGGGAGGGGGGGAGTGGGTTGACCAGGAGAGAGAGATAGAGAGAAATAAATTTAAGAACATGTGAAGGATGAAGTGGCTGGATGGAATGTGTTTCAGACACATGAAGGATGTGGAGGTGGAGGGCCGAGGGGGGTGTTACTGTCAGAGAGGTGAATCAGATACCGACTGGCTGAAGGCTTCACTGATACGTCACATCTGGCTTTGACACATTCAGTTAATATGATGGAGAAGATTCCACAAAACCTCCAAATAAGTGGAAAATGTATTTAAAATAGAAATTATAAAGCGCTCAGTGGATGAACTACCTGAGCTAAGAGCGGCCAAAGGATCATCTTCTCAACTGGGTGTTGCAGACGCTCCTAGTCTGGTCTGCTGATAATGCTGATGATTAATAGATTTTATACTTTAAACTTTTAGAAAAATATATTTCAAATAATTTCATGACTGTAATAGTAATTAAGAATATGATTAACATATTTTGTGACTATTCAAAGAATAACAGACAGATAAGAAAATTTAGTTAAATAATTAAAAATGTTGTTTATCTATTTTTATTTTTTTTACCGTTTACACCGTTCATAATAAAAGTATTTGATTAGGAATAGTTTAAGTTTTATTTGATGCCTTGAACTATCTGAAGACCCCATACTTGGAGGTTTGTGGGCGATAGTTTTAAGATTATTTAAAAATAAGTTCTTAGTAGGGATGATCAATGTCGCCTGTTTTACTGATAACTCTTAATTTGTGACACAGATGTTGGAGTTGAAAAAAAAACTAAATAATTTTAGGTAATCAACATCGCATTCAGGCAAAACTGGAAAATTTTGAAAAAGGTGCAACTGTTAATTTTTTTCAGTAATTCATCTTTGACTGAGAGACCATCTAAAGGCTCAGGAACCCTTTGCAGGTGTTCTGGATTCATTAGCTGATTAGAGTGTGACACTTCTCATCTAGAATATTGAAACTTTTCACATTATTCTAATTGTCTGAGATTATGAATGTGGGGTTTTCATCAGTCGTAAGCCATAATCATCACAGTTATAATGAATAAATATCTGGCTAGACTTTTGTATCGCGTCTGAATGTTTTGAGTGTCACCCGTATCCCTTACACGTAAACATTGTCTGTTTAATGCAGACCTGACCTAACATAACTTCAAGTTGTATGTATGAAATGTGCATGGTATGTAAAAGTTGTGTCATTAAGAGTAAAAACCAATTATTTTGGATATTACATTTTAATGCCAATAGCAGGTCATAACTCTAATGGTTTGTATGAATGCCATCACGTTTTTATCAGCGAGGTTATTTAGGACAGGACTAAATGTGGTGCAACCCTCACATGAACAGGATTTAAAGCCACAATGGCAAACCTGCATGCCTCCTAACACAACACATTCTCACACCCAAGGCATCAAAATATGACGCGTGTGACCAAGACTCAATATATGACGA